AAATTTCAATTATATGTTGGCAGTAGGGATTGGAAGGGGAGGGGTCACATGTTCTCTGTAACTCTGACTGATGTCATTTTTCTGAACTTTATGCTGTATTAACTAGCTCAGTAGTGCTACATTGGTATAACTGAGAGGCAAAATCAGCTCCCAACAAAGATTTGAATGTAAACACCAACTGCATCTGGCTGGAGCAAATAGCATAAGGCTGATTCCCACTGAATGTTTAAGTGTGCTTAAGGTAGTCATTCTTTCCAATTCAAGACTATTTCTTCTTATTCCTTTATCAGAAAGAGGGAAGCAAATAGTTTTCAGTCAGCAGTTTCACACTGACACACTGTATTTGCTCAGTCATCACGACAATCATCTCTAATAGAGGGCTTAATACAGACACTCATTCATGCCAAAAGACTTAGGGTGCATCTACACTGTACCGTTATTTCAAAATAACTAGCGTTATTTCAAAATAACAATGTGAGCATCTACACAGCCATCCCGTTATTTTGAAATAATTTCAAAATAACGGACGGCTTCTTCAGAAATCTTTAAACCTCATTCTACAAGGAATAATGCCTATTCCAAAATAGCTATTTTGAAATAAGGCATGTGTGGACACTCCACTTCTGCTATTTCGAAACAGCCCTTCACCAGGGCCATTCTGAGTTATTCCTCCCCAGTGCCTCCTGGGGCTTTAAATCGAGATAGCACGTCTACATTAGGGAAGTCTGCCTACGACTAATTTTGAGCCTTTCCTGCAGTGTAGACGTGCTATTTCAAAATAATCTATTTTGGAATAACTATTCTGGAATAGTTTATTTCAAAATAAGCGTGCAATGTAGACGTACCCTTAGATGGGAAAGTAGAGCACTTTTGTGCAGGAATCCTTTCCCAAGCAGTTGGGTCACAGTGTTATACCGTGTTTTAGCTAACACAGACACTGAGTAATGATGCAATGGAGCTGGCTTAACATGCATGGAAAGGGACAGCATTTGTTTGTGAATCTCTGGGTTACATGACTGAAATGTAGCATGAATGAGAAATGGAAAGTGACATTGCTAATAATGAAGGAAATATCTTCAGTGTATTTTACAGCTCAAGGAACAAGATCCGCAACTGGTATATGTCCGCATAGCTTTGTTAAAGTTAATGGGGCTATGCTGATTTACAGCAGATGGGGCTATGGCACTACGAGATTCTGGTTTGTGCCCATAAATTAATAAGCCTACTTTAGGTCAGAAAAATATAGATAAAATGGGGTTTACTTCATATTTTTACCATAAACTTACTTCCATGTAACTGTAACAAATTGTAGCTAATGTACAAGATTATTTTAACAGTCTTAAATGCTTCAGAAGTATTTCAGCAAATGGAGAGGGGTGTTACTTACGCAAATTCTAGTTTTCTAAGGTTTTTGATAGCAGGAATTTCATAAAAATTGCAGCCAGAGGCATCTTCCATGCTAAATAAACCATAATGGAATAATTGTATGTATTAGAAAAAGTTTTACACTTGTAGAAACACTAATTGCTTAACAAAGAATACCAGATTATGTGGAGCCAGGTTATTAGCTATAAAGGTTTATTAGAAATAGCATTTACAAAACAAAGCATTGTTTGTTCTTTCAGGGTGAAGAAAGTATAAAACAACAGAAAAAGGATTTTAAAAATACTAGTATAGACAGTCCATGTGTATAAAGACTTAGTTAGGCCGATCTTACCCCAAATTGCTTTGCTCAAGAGACTAGGGAACCAGTGTGTTCTGCAGCCTTTTTTATCCACCCAAAGCACCTCACTGTCTTTTTTATCCACCCAAAGCTCTTAGTTTGAATTTTTCTCATTTAGATCACTCTTTGGTTACCAAGTAGAACACTGACTCCAACCCCCTCACTCCCCCAAAGCTAAGTCACATGATGGGCTTAGTGTAGACAGATGTAAAATTTCAAAGTGACAGTTGCATTGTCCTTTAAATGTCAGTAAGTTGGGGGCTATTAGGAGCTAATGTCTTGAATTAATCCTTCTAACCATATTACAAACAACAAACAGATAGAACATTCAATATTCACAAAATACAACAGGTAGCCCTGTCTCCTTCACAAAGATCAGAACAATGATTTGCACGCTCAAAACTGTAATTAGCTCTCTGGCTGGATCAGCTGTGAGGCCAGAACCCAGGACCTCTGGCTCTGGAAGTACAAGCCTTTGCCACTGGAGAATAAAAGACTGGCTCTCTTAGCTCGCATACAGTAGCAGACTCTAGCCAGCCTGGAGCAGAGTCACACAATGTAGGAATGTATAATTAAAAGGGATTAGAAGATAAGGGATTTAAAAAATTATAGGCAAAAACGCTGAAGAGGAAAAAAAATCAAGCTGTTAGTTGGCTTCTTTGTGGGCCTCCACCCTACATTATCACTATGTATTACAACAGAAGAACATGGGCAGAGTAAGAGAGCATTTCCTGCACCTACTTGCCCTGTGGACAAAGAGAGAATTTCACACTCCTGGACTGTTATCAAATCAGGGTCTTTCATAAATTTAGTAGCACTTAAATATAATTATGTAATTAATTTGATAGGATCTTACCAGTGGATCACTTTCTCTTGCATATGTACCAGGTCAGAAAGATCACTAATGTCCTTCATTTTTTCTGCCTTAAAGGGATCAATACCAAATTTCTCAACTGAAATCCTCAGCAGCTCGTATTCCTTTGTTTCCTCTAAGGACTCCCAGAGCCTGACTACATCGCTAAGTGAAGCCCTGTAAAGAGGCAAAACACATGTTTGTTGACCCATGTAGAGTCCATACCCTTGCATGAAAGGGTCTGTCACAGCATAATGCTCATAATACAATTATAAGTAATAACTAACCTGAATGAGATCACATTCTTTAGGCCAGACAGGTGTTTCAGCCCTTGTAGGTTAATACCACTGTTCCTCAAATCCAAGGAAAACTCCTTTTGTGATCTTTTTAAAATAAAATGCAGCACATAGACATCTGGGGGAGTAAGAGGAGTGCCCAGAAAAGAAAGTTCAGGTTTCAGCCTTAAAGCCACATGCTGCAAAAGATAGCTGTCCTGTGTTTCATAAACACAGTGGAACAACTCTAGTAGCTTTTTTGGGTGGAGTTCACTTATCTGTATTTTTTTAATATATTTTAAGAGTGTTTTCTGCTTCTTAGTTATGATTTTCCTTCTATGCTCATCTGAAAGAGAGAAGAGGTAGGGATCGGGCTGGAGGTACAATAACCCAGGCAAGAATCGAGGCACCAAGTCCAACCAGTTGTGAGGCCTTTTTTTCCTGGATGGTAATGAAAGGTACTTTGTGAGGCTTTTATCCTTGATCTCTTCTGCAAGCACAAGATGAACTGCACTCAGAAAATTTTGGATAACATAGTCTGAGAATGCACTCCCAAATTCTTCTTCCCCATTCCCCGAATGATTTGGGAATGTAAATGGCAACAGTAAGCCATATTTCAGAGCAAATTCCTTAACTTCTTTAGAGGGAAAAAGACTGCTCTTCAGGGCATTTTGGTTCTTTTCTCCAAGATACCAGGCTACCTGAGCTAGCGTGGTAATGTGCTGTTGATTTTGTATGGCTGTCGCATCCGTTTGTGTAGGCATTAACTTTTGCTGGAGGTATTTTACAAAGAGGGTGGTAAGTGTTGAAGGCAGATCTTTGTCTCCCATTTCAAACATCATCTCACAGAAAAAACAAATGAATTTACATATGACAGGGCTGTAGCAATGGCTGAACAGATATTGACAATCTTTGATTGATTTCACTGCCTCATCACAGTATGGTAGCCCTTCAAAATATCTGGCTATATATGATTCTATCTGTTGTGGTATGAACCCTACCATTTCAATAATCTTGTCCACTTTGGATAAATACTGACTAAATTTATCTTTGGGTCTTGCTGTTAGCAATAAAGTACAACCACTGAGTATCTTCTTCTGAAAGAGCCCTGCAAAGAGCTCCCTGATGCTGTAGCACTCCTTATAAGATTGGCAGTCTGAGTAATGTGTAAAGCCATCATGAACCTGTAACTCTTCAAAACCATCGAAGATGAGTAGGACTTTATCAGGATTTTTCAGTATGTACTCAAAGACTTTGTCACTTCCCTCTCGGGGTTTGACAAAGAGTTCAAGTAGCAGATCCTTCAAGCTGTATTGCTTCTCCGGTAGGCTCAGTCGTCTGCACTCAAACCAAAAGACAAATTCAAACTGAGAAAACTTTCCATTGGACCAATCTTGGCAGATCTTTTGAACAAGAATGCTTTTACCCATTCCTGCCTTTCCCAAAACTACAATGACTTTGGTCTCTAGTTCTTTCCCTCCTGGGACTTGAAATATCTGGCTTCTTTCTATAGCTGCTTTTTCCTTCTCTTCTAAATTGTATATTACCAGCTCCTTCTCCATCACCTTTATGAGATTTTTCCCACTCTTTATTTCGGTTTGGCCTTGCATGAAAGCCCCATCAATGTAAAGTTGATCGAGAGTCACTTCACGGTCCATGGCCATGAATTTGCACACATCTTGAAAATAATCTTTAAGTGATGCACAGAAAGCTTCCACTGGCTCTAAAAAAAACCAAAAGCACACGTGAGCTAAAGAACCAAGTATTTGAAAGGAAATGCAGACTCAGCATAGCTTTTAGATATTTGAAATATGTATGTTATAATGCTCTTCAAATACATCAGCATTCTGGCCCCTGATAGTTTTCAGAAAATATTTAGTTCCTAAAATATATAAATGATTGAATTCCTCTCAGAAAGTTTTGAACAGCTCCATGACTGTTGTACAAGACATTTTCCCCACTACAAGCAGCTTATTATAGAGCAGAAACAAATATTTTGGTTTTCCACAGAGTTTGAAAAACAATGTAAGGTTAAGGGGTGAGACAGAATATTGGCTAAGCCAGAGCTCTGCCACTATAACCTGGGGCTATGTTTAGACTGGCATGATTTTGCAGAAATACTTTTAACGGAAAAGTTTTTCCATTAAAAGTATTTCCTCAAAAGAGCGTCTAGATTGGCAAGGATGCTTTTGCGCAAAAAGTGCTTTTGCGCAAAAGCATCCGTGCCAATCTAGATGTGCTTTTGCACAAGAAAGCTCCGATGGCCATTTTATCCATCGGGCTTTCTTGCACAAAAAATTAAGGTGGCTGTCTACACAGGCCCTCTTGCGCAAGTATTCATGCGCAAGAGGGCTTATCCCTGAGCAGGAGCGTGAAAGTATTTGCGCAAGAAGCACTGATTTTGTACATTACAAAGTCAGTGTTCTTGCGCAAATTCAAGCGGCCAGTGTAGACAGCTGGCAAATTTTTGTGCAAAATCTTGCCAGTCTAGACACACCTTGGCTGAAAAGGCTGATGGCAAACAGATGAGCAAGCCTAGGCCTAAAGGGCTATTAGAAGCAGCTGTGAACCTCGTTAGGGAGAGGCAGCCAAAGGGGATGAGCCAGAAGCCATGGTGTGGCTGAGTGTGTGCCCCAGGCAGAAAGAGAGGCTGGCTGAGTTTGCTGTTATCCAAAAAGCTTTGTAAATAGAAGGTGGTGCGAAGCTGATAATAAATGGCACAGGTGACTGCACCAGAGAGGGTCTCCGGCTGATTTGTGGACCAGAAGATGTTCCAGGGCAAGGGGCCTGAGCCAGTACCTTGCCACAGGGGATTGAAACTTACTTGGCCTTTTGAAAATTTGTGCCGAAGGAACATCAAGTATTTGTGATATCTCATTGAATATTTCTTTCCCTGGAGGAAAACAAATACTTTATTTGAAAAACAGACTCTTAAACATTCACTGATTGAGCTTTTCTAATTTCAGCAATGTGACTAGTTAAATGAGTTTGAACATTGCCAAAACAATTGATGTACTAACTTAAAGAAATATTTGCCCATTTCAGTGATAAAAATCACGCAAATCATATCATTGTGATAGACAAAAGACAAGGAAATTCTGCAGACACTTCACTTGATATTCATCATTTGGTGAAGTTAATTATTGTAGCTATTGCAATGTTACAGAAGAACATAACTGTTCTAATACCCTACATGGAACAGGGTTGTGGAGAAACATTAGAACACTATTCATGAGACCCACCACCCCTTTCAAATATTAGCATAGTGGTGGAAAATATGTTCATACTTAAGACTTACTTATGTAATAAAAAGGAATAGCCTCAGAGTAATTGCACAATTGTAGTTCGAGTTGTGTAGTTAGTCATTTAGGATGAGCATTATAGACAAATAACATCCTTGTGAAAACTCATTTCAGGGATCCACTCTGTATTATGCCATACGTACAAAGTATTGTAATCGCAAAGTAAGTGTATAGGGGTTTTTAAATTGTGTAGTATCTACCTGCTTGATCAGTCATAGCTGCAGTCTCTGGCCTGTAAGCATAGGGGTCCATGGAGGTGTTTTTGTCAGAAGGTCCCAAAATGCTTTGAACAGCCAAGTCCACTTGAGCTGAAACAATGCATTCAACAAGCTATTCATACAGTTAAGGAAATGGTTATCAGTATTATTTCTTAAAGACAGCAAAGAGCAGACAGAATACTAAGGACTCTGGGTACAGCTAAACTGGGGGGGGGGGGGTTGGAATACTTGTTTTTGTGGAAGAGCAAATGCACTCTTTCGGAAGCCCCTTAATTCCTCGTTCTACGAGGAAGAAGGGGGCTTTTGAAAGAGGGTGTTTTCCTGACATTTGGCCCAGTCTAGACGGGCCAAATGTTGGAAAAGACTCTTTCAATAAAATAATCGGAAAAATGTATGCAAAATGCGGAGTGCATTTTGTGTACCTTTTTCTGACAAAACCTTGTAGTCTAGCTGTCCCCAGATCTATGTCCTCTACATAGGTTTAGTTAAGCCAAAAGTTCTGAGAATGTCTTCTAATATAATTTAAAAAACTATCCATTCAGGGAATCAAATACTGACTCTGAGGCTGTGTCTAGACTACATGCCTCTGTCGGCAGAGGCATGTAGATTAGACACATAGGCAAAGGGAAATGAAGCTGCGATTTAAATGATCGCGGCTTCATTTACATTTACATGGCTGCTGCGCTGAGCCAACAAACAGCTGATCAGCTGTTTGTCGGCTCACGCGCTAGTCTGGACGTTCCCCCTGTCGACTTCAAAGCCCTTTGTCGGCAGCCCCGTTATTCCTCGTGGAATGAGGTTTACCGGGGCTGCCGACAAAGGGCTTTGATGTCAGCAGGGGAA